TACCGGAGGACCGGCAGTCCTGGCCGTGCCCGGGCGTGGGGGCGAGGCCGGGGGCCCCGCCGTCGTGATGAATGTACTGGCGAGCCGAGGCAGCAGCACCCCCACTACCCACCACGCCCCACTCACCCCCACATCCCCATTCCGCGCAATAAACAACAGCATTGGCGCCCAGCCTGCCTGCGTCTGATTGCTCGGAGCCCAGGCCCAGCAGGGCGGCAGGCCCCCCCCCGAGGCAGGCAGCAGCTCCCGAGGTGGCAGATGGAGCTTTATTTACACTATGGTACAGGTGGCCTGGGAGCCGCTGGGCCCTGGGGACTGAGGTGTCCTGCGTCAGCTGAAGAAGTACGTGGAGCGCTTCACCTGCTCCAGGTCGAAGGCCCCTGCGGAGCAGAGGGAGGCCGTGGGGCAGGCCCTGAGGAAGGCCCCACCCCCCACCCGCCAGAAGTGCCCCGCCTCCGGCCGCAGCCCTACCTGTCTTGGGCACCGACAGCAGCGTGTCCAGCAGCCGGGAGGCCCAGACGCTCTTGGAGACCCTGAAGCCAAGGGCAGGGTCACAGTGAGGCTCTGGTGGGATAGGAGGGGTGGGGCCACCGAGAATGGGCTGGGGTTGGCGGAGGGGGTCCTCACCTGGAGTCAGAGCAGAACCGTTTCACCAGAAACCTGGACAGGTCATGGAGGATGGGCTGGCTGTGCAGGCGGACAAACTGCTCCCTGCACACCTGGGGGGAACGGGTGTCAGAAGCCAGGAACCAGGGCCCCACGGGCAGGGAGAGGCTGGGCTTCCCTGCTCAGGCAGGGTCATCGCCCCAATGCCTGGGGTGAGCCTGGCGGCCCAGGGCCCCATGGGGTGAGGGCCACAAGACCAGGGGTGTCCACGACTATGAGGGGCAGGGCTGCACCTGGTTCATGACCGCGACATCAGCCGCGTGGGTCCAGAAGCAGTCGTGGACTGAGACGAAGGTCAGGCCCTTCCTGCAGCAGGAGGGAGGGACTCCGTGAAGATGGCCAAGCCCTGGCCCTGCTCTCACTTCAGTCCCCCTCCCCGCTCAGCTGGGGGGGCTCACAGTCCCAGGATGCCCACCCTCCTCTTACCCCCCAACTCCTGTGAGCTCCTGCAACTGTGTGCCACATGCCTCTTCAGCAGGCAGGTCAGAGGTTCGTATCTTAAGAAGTATCTCTGCTTCCTCACCCACCCCTGCCGGCTGCTGCCCAGATTCTCAGCTCCTTGTAAAGGGATGACTCTCCCCAGGGGTCCCCGAGCCAGGAAAACTTAGTGAACCCACGCCCCCCACGTTAGCAACTGTTTCTAACAGAACTGTGACATCTGGCCCCATCACCCCCTGATCCACCACCCCCGAGTCTCAAGAGAAACCCAGACACCTCTGCCTGCCCAGAGCAGAGCCAAACACATCAGGATGATGTTGGAGCCCCCCAGAGCAGGCCATACAGCACACCTGACCCAGCGAACGTCAGCTTCATACTCTGAGCCACGGGCCCTCCCCTACCCAGGCAGCCACTCCCAGGCCCACCTGGCCTCCCCGGCCTGCAGCCTCTTCTGGGCACCACATCCTACAGGCCCACACGGCTGGGGTCCTCGCCTGCTGGAGGGCTCTGGCCTGGCCTGCCAACCCTGTTCCTGGCTGGCAGCACCCACCGGCAGGACCCAGCCTCCCCACTGTGTGCAACCTCGGCACCTAGAACCCTACGGCTCACAGTGGGGGTTCCCCGCCTGTGGGGGCTGGGGCTCGGGCTGGGACTGCGGGGTGCACCTGTAGCAGTGCAGGGCCGTGAGCATCATGTGTGAGGAGTCCAGCGAGTGGATGAAGTTGGGGGGGAAGCCGTTCTTCTGCTTCAGCGTGTTGGGCTTCCTAGAGGTGGGGGCACTGAGTCAGGCATCCCAGCCCAGAGCCCTGCCCGGCCTGGCCCCTGTGCTGCCCCGCGCCATCCTGCACTCACTGGCTGGTGTCCCCACTGCTGCTGAAGGTAAGGCTCTGGATGCCACCTTTGATCTGCAGGGTGGGGTGGGAGGAGAGGGGGACATGAGCCCTGCCCTGCCAGGGTGGGGCGGGGATGCGGGCAGGGGCTGCACATACCATGACCTTGGAGTCACGGTGGTAGGGCTGGATGACCGGAATGCCAAGGGGAGTGACCCACTCCACAGCTGAACCCGTGTGGGAGATGAGCCGGGCACTTTCGGTCAGCCAGCGCTGAGGGAACAGGCACTGGGATCAGGGCGGGGCCGGGTCTAGGGAAGCCTGTGGGGGACCCATGCCCGAGGAGAGCGCCAAGGACTCACCTGGATGGACCGGGTGCCTGAGAACATCTCCTGGAGGCTGTTGAACACCTGGCGCACCAGGTAGTGCGAGGCCTCCCACAGGAACTCCTGAGGGGGAGGGAGACTGATGGGCGGGGCCCAGGCTCCCTCCATAACCCCTGAAGGCCCTAGGCCAGTGACCTGGCAGGAACGTCCCCACACCCTTGGAGGGGGCTGGCTCGCTCCCACGGGCCCCTCTGGGGGACCCGCTGGTGTGGGGAGAAGAGCCCCTCCCTCGGAGTCGCCTGCGCCCAGAGGCCTAGCCAACTGCAGAGGTGCAGCAAGTGTGGGCCGCGCACCTGGGGGAAGTTGTGGAGCTCCCGGAGGCGCTTCTCGATCTGCAGGCGGCCCCCGTAGCGGGTGACCCCGTACACCACAGTCATCACCGTCTGCTTGACCACCTTGCGGCTGATGAAGCCCTCCAGCACCTGGGCCACGTGCACACCCTGCTCAGCATCCTGCCTGCGGAACACCTCCACCTGCGTGGGCGGTGGGGGTCATGGGCGGGGCCCCGGTCTCACCCAGTGCCCCACCCCACCCCTTCTCTTCCTGTGGGCCTCACCATTCGCCCCTGATACCTCCCTAGGAAGTCTGGTCATGACAGTCGGAGGCCACGGCTGTCAGCTCTGCAGTGCCCAGATGTTCACAAGACAGGCACCAGTAGGTCTCGGGGATAAGAATGAGCTGGGGAACCATGACACCCACCTGTGCAGCCACTCCGCTGTACACGTCCTGCGGCAGGTCCGAGGGCAACAGGTTGACGGAGGCGGCCCCAACGCTGTCCCGGCCCAGGGCGGCATAGTGTTGCAGGCCATTACAGGAACCATCCTGGTGGGGGACAAGGGTGGAGAGTGAGGAGTCCGGCCAGGCCAGGCCGGTTGGAGGGTCTGCAGCTCGAGCCGGAGCTCCCATGCTTCCTCAGCTCTGTTCACGGTAAGAGCTCCCTGGACCCCAATGCCAACAGGTGCGTGCGAGCCCACCACAAAGGAGAACCGAGGAGCAGAGGGCTGGGCTGTGCTTGAACCAGCTGCGTGGCTGGGTCCCAGCAGGAACTGCAGCCAGCAGAGTGGGACCTGCAGGAGCTGAACACCGACGCAGCCCTGCGGACCTTGGCCCATGTGGGCTGGGCACACTCCACACCAGGGTCCCACCAGCTCACCTGGTGAACAGGGAAGTGGGAGATGTAGGCGGCAGGGTCAGGGGCACGTGTGGCCCGAGCGATCTCCATGCAGCAGGCCAGAGCTTGCCAGGGCTCGTCCGCCTCCATCCACCACCTCCGGCCCTGTGGAGGGCAGGCGGGCTGGGTGAGGCCTGGGTATCTGGGCCTGGTGGGGTCAGAGCAGGGCATGGATGGGAGCTGGGTGGGCCCAGGGGACTTGAGGGCACAACGAGGCCAGGATGGAGCCCCCTGGACAGCAAGGGAGGACAGGAGCTACAGACTGGGGTGGGACAGGCGGCAGCACCCCAGGAGGAGCAGCCCCAGGCCCGGGTTGGTGGACCTGGACTGGGGGGTCCCGAGGAGCAGGAGATGGCAGAGCTGCAGACGGCCTGGGGCAGAGGGAAAGGCCAGGAGAAAGGATACCAGGGGAAGAAGTGGGGGCACCGGTGACAGATTTTGGCCCGAGGGACGCCCTGGAGGGAGTCCGCGGTGGGTGCCGAAGTGGCCAGGAGAGACAGCTGGGGAGCGGGGCGTCGGGGCCCGCCCTACTGTCATGGGCTGGTCGGCTGAGTCCAGGATGTCCTCCATCAGCTGGTCTGCAAAATCCCGGCGCGCCTGCAGCGACTCCCGCTTCTTCAGGCCGGTGAGGTTGACCAGGTGGATCTTGAGCCAGTCGAGGCCATGAGGGCCAAGAGGGCGGCCCTGGGCAAACTCCAGCAGGGCACGGGCCAGGTCGCTGCCCAGGTGGTTGAAGTGCGGTGGGCAGGGGTAGGTCCGGCCGCGGAAGTCCATGTTGTGTGGCAGCCAAAAGACACGGTGCCGCAGGTGCTGAGCCAGCGAGAGGCGGCAGAGCGCGTCAGCGCGCAGGCTCTGCATCTCCCGTGCCACCTTCAGGCGGCGGGCCAGCTCCCGCCGCATCTCCGCCTTGTCTGCCGGCGAGAGGTCGGGCAGCAGGCCACTCTTGGGGGTCTGGCGGCCCTGGGGAGGCCGGGGGGCCTCAGAGGGCGGGGCGGGCACGCCCAGGCGTGGGCAGCCCTTGTCGGTGAAGAGCTCCAGCACCAGGTCCAGCACGCGCCCGTTGACGCGCCAGGCGCAGTTGCCCAGCTGGGTCAGGGCGTCCAGGGCACCATGCAGCTGGGCAGGGGGACAGCGCTCCAGCAGGAGCTGGTGCTGCTGGGTGCCCTCCACCGAACGCATCATCTTGGTGGGGCTCAGAAGGAAGGCGCCCGAGTGGGGCGATGTCCAGGGCAGCGGGGGGCACAGCATGGGCACCTCAGTTGACTCAAACGTCAGCGTGCGCTCTGCCGCGGCCTCCAGCAGCTGCGTGAAGGCTGGGTGCGGCTTCAGGATCCCGATCTAGGGGCAGGGCGGGCAGAGACGGTCAGGAGGCCAGTCTCCCCCAAGGCACAAGTGGAGGAGGGCCTCAGGGTCCTGTCAGACGCCCTGACCCTAAGAGGGGCCATGGCCCACCAGGACCCCGGCAGGAGCCCGCCCCACCCTGAGCCCGCAGCCGCATCCCAGGCCCCTCCACCTCGCCCACCTGGCGAAAGCTGCGGAACGAGTACACGTGGTAGAGCACCGGGATGAGGGAGCCAGGGCCCCGGGGCGCCGCCAGGCTGCCGGGCATCTGCACCGCCTGCACCAGCACCTCTGCCAGCTGCTTGCCCAGCTGCACCAGCACAGACACGGGCCAGGGCTGCTCATGCGGGGCCTCAGGCATCCCCAGAGCTTCCCACCACTGCCGTGGCAGGCAGCGTTCTGCCACCTGTGGGCAGGAGTGGGGGGTCAGGGGCCGAGAGCCCAGCACAGACTGGACACCCGCCACCCCCAGGTGAGACGACTACTCTCCCGATGTTAGATGAGGAGACTGAGGCAGAGTCTGGGGCACGCTAGGCTACCCGAGGGAGGGGAGTGGGGACAGCAGCTCTGCTCAAGTCCTTAGGTTCTCCAGCCGAGCCCCCCAGTCACCCCCTCCCGGCCTCACCTGAGTGTCCGAGGCCAGCAGATGCAGGTACTTGATGTAGTGCTGCTCCAGCACCTGCACCTGCTTGCTCAGCTGCTTCCTCTGCACGATGTGCCGGTTGAAGACGCGCAGACCCAGCTCATGAGCCAGGAAGAGAAGCGACTCTCCCTGCGCAGGCAGCGCCTGCAAGGTCTAGAAAGCAAGGCTGTAAGCCCCACGCACACTCTGTCCTAAGCCCCGCGCGCACAGCCCCCCGTGCGCACACCTGCAGCAACAGCCCCACGAACTCCCTCTCGCTCAGCAGGCACAGGTATGGGAAGAGCGAGGGGCGGCCTTCACGGGCAGCACGGGCCTCGCTGGCCTTGGTCTCCTGTAGCTCCTGGTACAGCGCCGTCTCCCACGTGGCGCGCAGGTCAGCTAGGGTCTTCCGCTGCAGGGGATGGGGGTGGGGAGAACACACGCGGAGTCACCACAGCACCCACCCAGCCTGGCAGACAGTGAGATCCCGCCCAGGAGATGCCCAGTTCAGCCTGGTGCGGACCACTCCCCCAGCCCCTTACCGCATGCAGGACCTCCTCGGTAGGCGGCTGGGCCTTCTCCACGGATTGCACGGTGACAGTGGTGGCCAACTCCACACGGAGCTGCTGCTGGAAGAGGTCCTGCAGCTTCTTTAGGGGCAGGTGCAGCCTCGGGTAGGACACAGGGCAGCCCTGCTGGTGCCCAAGGCTCATGGTGAGGCCCATGTGTCTGACCTCTCAGCCAGGGACCCCTGGGGCAAAAGTTGTCCACACCAGAGGTCCCGAAGAGCAGCTGCCCACCCTCTGCGTCCTAGTACCACCACCCAGCGGGCTCATCCATTTTTCCAAGTTGGGTCGGGGGGGGGAGGCACGGTGCAGAACAGCATTTCAGAGACTAGGCTGGTTTAAAGGCATTTGTGTGGCTTCGCTGGGCGGGCAGGACAGCCCAGGGAGACAGTTCAGGTCCCTGGACGCTGCTGTTTTTTTTTAAATTTGGAACTGTGTGAATGTGAGACCCATCCAAAAATAGGTAAATTAAAAATAGCAAAACCCAATACACTGAGAACCAAAAGTACACATTCACACAAAGACTTGTACACAGATGTCTACAGCAGCAGGATTCACAACATCAAAAAATAGAAACTGAAGTGTCTGGCAACAGGCGATGGATAAACAAAGTGCCCATCCACACACGGGAGCATCGCTCAGCTGTGAACAGAAGCCCTGACACCTGCTCCCACGTGGACATAGCCTGAGAGCACGATGCTCAGTGAGAGAAGCAGACACAGAAGGACACACAGCGTGTGACTCCTTGGATGTGAAACGTCCAGAACAGGCCAGCCCACAGGGGCAGAGAGGGGGCTCCTGGCTGTCAGGGGCTGGGGTGACTGCTGATGGGGACAAGGCTTCTTTTGGGGTGATGGAATGTTCTGAGCTTACAGAGATCAATGTACTAAAAAAAGAGACTAAATTATACTTTAAATGGTGAACACAGAAGACTTATATTCCAACAACAAGGAACATCTGGGAGTCACTCTTCTCTGCCCTGGGAAGCGGGTGAGGGTCTCCCCAGTCCTCTGCTTCTGTCCAGTCCTCGGGCAGGGACACCGGCTCAGCCACACCCCTGAGCACTGCCTGCAGCCAAGTCTCCATGTGGAAACCCAGAACAACACAGGGCAGCCTCCCCCGTGCCTGCACCTGCCAGCCTCAAGGCCCTGCTGAGGGCTGGGCTGGCCACATCTGGCTTGCTCAGTATCTGAAGGTGGGGGGCACCCACCCCGAAGAGAGACAAGGAGAGACCTCGCCACAAGCCCGGGTCTCACCTTAGCGTAGACCTCCCTGAGCAGCGGCGAGGTGTTGAGCTGGGGTGTAGGCGGCGGCGGTGGCGGGGGGCTGAAGGTGGGCTCAGCCTTGCGCACGGCCCGCAAGAGCTCGGCCCGCTCCCCCTCACCCAGCGGCACGGCTGTGAAGAGCCCCTGCAGCTGCAGCCCGTCCTGGGCCATCTGCTTCAGACACCTGCGGGGACATTGGGGTGGCCCTGGGCTCAGCGCGAGGCAGCCACTGGAGCCTCCAGGGGTCCCAGCCCCACTCACCTGCGGACGGTGCTGGCATCCTGGTCCAGACGCCCCATGCACTGCAGGACGGCCGCGTAGGATAGCAGGTCCGGGGCAAGGCCAGCGTCTTTTACCATGAAGAACACATAAACCAGCTCTTTGAAGGAGCCCTGGTGGGACAGAGGGGGTGAGGACCTGGGGGTGGCCTGGTGGGAGTGGAAGGTTGCTGGGGTGGGAGGCTCTGCCTGCCGTCAGCCTGCTCCTCTCCTGCATTTCCTGTGGTGGGGCCGAGCCTCCCTCCTCAGTGCAGGCGTCCTGCTACCCTTCCC